GGGAGCGGCCACTGCACTCCAGTCTGGGTGATAGAGTGAGACTCCAACTCAAAAAAAAAAAAAATAAAGAACAGTACAATTTTGGGAGCGAAAAGCTGTATTTTCTATTCCTAGTATCTTGCCATTTTCAGGAAATTGCCTACCAGTGATTTATAATCAAACTCTTCTATTACTTTGGTTCTGAGAGAGTTTTACTCAACCCTTTAGAGTTCTACATTGCAGGTTTTATAGTTTTGACTCTTGTTTAAATCATTGTAACAGTTGATATTTCCTGTTTCTGTTTTGTTTTAAATTTATTTTTTGGCTTCACATTCTAAGCTGAGAGTAACATGGTTTGGTATGACTGGATGAGGCCCTCTCATGCACAACTTCACTCTGACTACATGCAGCCTCTTACTGAGGCCAAAGCCAGGAGCAAGAACAAGGTTCGGGGTGTCCAGCAGCTGGTACAGCGCCTACGGCTGATCAAATCTCCTGCAGAAATTGAACGAATGCAGATTGCTGGGAAGCTTACATCACAGGTATGGATCCTATTGAAAATGTTTTTTCCACATTGAAAAATCATAAGCTGGGCTGAGTGTGGTAGATCACGCCTATAATCCCAGCACTTTGGGAGGCCAAAGTGAGGGGATTGCCTGAGCTCACGGGTTTGAGACCAACCTGGGCAACTTGATGAGACCTCATCTCTACAATAAATTTAAAAAATCAGCCAGGCGTGGTGACGTGTGCCTGTAGTTCCAGCTACTTGGAAGGCTGAGGCAGAAGGATTACCTGAGCCCAGCAGGTTGAGTCTGTGGTGGCTATCAGCATGCCACTGCACTCTAGCCTGGGCGACAGAGTGAGACTTCAACTAAAAAAAAAAAATCATAAGCTAATCTTAGAGTTCACCAGGCACCTTGAGCTCATATACCCAATGTAGTAATCTCCTCATAGGCAGATGTAGTGAATATATCTACAGGTTCATATGTGTAGTGAACATGTCAAGAGGTTTGCTCAATTCCTTGCAATACAAAGTAAATCTGCCTTCTTTTAAGATTGATCGGACTAGGCGAGGTGGCTCACACCTGTAATCCCAGCACTTTGGGCAGCTGAGGCAAGAGAATTACTTGAGCCTCAGATTCAGCAACAGCCTGGGCTAACATAGCGAGACCTCGTCTCTACAAAAAATAAAAAAATTAGCCAGGTGTGGTGGTACACATCTGTAGTCCCAGCTACTCAGGAGTCTGAGGTAGAATCACCTGAGCCCAGAAGGTCGAGGCCACAGTGAGCTATGACCGTGCCACTGCACACTGCACTCCAGCCTGAGTGACAAAGTGAGACTCTGACTCAAAAAAAAAAAAAAAAAAAGATTGGCCAGGCTCGGTGGCTCAGCCTGTAATCCTGCGCTTTGGGAGGCTGAGGTGAGTGGATTACCTGAGCCCGCAGGTTCAAGACCTGCCTGGGCAACTTGCGAGACCTCATCTCTACAATAAGTCAAAAAATTAGCCGGGCGTGGTAGCGCATGCCTGTAGTTCCAGCTACTTGGAAGGCTGAGGCGGAAGGATCGCCGGAGCCCAGCAGGTCGAGGCTGCAGTGACTGGGAGTGGCCACTGCACTGTAGTCTGGGCGGCAGAGTGAGACTCCAACTCAAAAAAAAAAAAAAAGATATATATTTGCTGAGTTGTTAAGAACAATATTTAATCTATCATTAAGCAGGTCTAAATACTTCCCTCAAGTCAATTTTCCTCCATAGGGATAACATCCTGAGAGGATTTTAATTTAATCTCTCAATATATTTGATCATCATCATCAGTATTATCCTAAGTTTTATAGACTCCTAAAATATTAATCTTACCTATGATTCCTATATTACACCATGTAACAGTACCATTAAAATTAGAAGGCAGACAAAATCTAGCTGCTAAAGGCTTATGTTAAGTTTTTTTTTTTTTGAGTTGGAGTCTCACTCTGTCACCCAGACTGGAGTGCAGTGGCCACTCCCGGCCACCTCAGCCTCGACCTGCTGGGCTCCGGCGATCCTTCCACCTCAGCCTTCCGAGTAGCTGGAATTATAGGCGCACGCTACTACGCCTGGCTGATTTTTTGATTTATTGTAGAGATGAGGTCTTGCTGCCCAGGCGGGTCTCGGACCCGCAGGCTCAGGCAATCGATTTACCTCAGCCTCCCAAAGGCGGGATTACAGGCTGAGCCACTGAGCCCGGCTAAGTTTTTTTTTTTTTATGCTGGGTTTGGTGACTCACGCCTGTGATCCCAGCACTTTAGGAGGCTGTCGAGAGGATTGCCTGAGTCCAGGTGTTCGAGACCAACCTGTACAACTTGGTGAGACTTTGTCTCTACATTAAAAAAAAAATTAGCCGGGCATGGTGGTGTGTGACTGTAGTTCTAGCTACTTAGAAGGCTGAGGCGGAAGGATCACCTGAGCCCAGAAGGTTGAGGCTGCAGTGACCAGGAGCTTGTCATTGCACTCCAGCCTAGGTGACAGAATGCGACTCCAACTAAAAAAAAAAAAAAGTAGACTGAGCTCAGTGACTCAGTCTGTAATCCCAGCACTTTGGGAGGCTGAGGTAAGAGGGTTGCCTGAGCTCAGGTGTTTAAGACCAGCCCAGGCAACTTGGTAAGATCTCATCTCTACAATAAATCAAAAAATAAGCTGGGCGTGGTGGTGTGCACCTGCAGTTCCAGCTACTTGGAAGTCTGAGGGCAGAAGGATCACCTGAGCCCAGCAGGTCGAGGCTGCGGTGACCATGAGCGTGCCACTGCACTCCAGCCTGGGCGACAGAGAGAGACTTCAACTCAAAAATAGAATCAAACAAAATCATGGTGTAGTTATTTTGTTCCTCCCAACATAATCTAACTCTTTTCATATTATATATTATAGCTGATAGGAGTGTAGATCAGAGGCCATATCTCTGTTGTTTCAGGTTTCAAAGCATCTTGAAAACATAGCCAGATCCCTTCCCTCAAGTTACATGATTGACAGATACTGATTCCCAGTGAGAAGGGTCTTGCAACAGAACTCATTTATCTTTCACAGAAAACACTCTAGTCCTGTTTAAAATTTGTCTAGTATATACAAACTGCACTGCAGGAAAAGAATGGCTGACTTTTATTTGCATCGTTAAAGCTCATAAAGAGCACTTGAACAGGTTGTATCCTTCAATTACAATTTCCATAAACCAGGAGGTCCATAAGTCTCCTGTGTAAGCATGTCATGGGTTTCTATCATGGGAATACCTGGCCATTGTGCTTGACATACCCTGGACGCCATTTAAGTTAAGATAATGCAGCTCTGTTAACATGCTAGTAATTCCCATTGCTGAGTTGGTTTGGGCATTGTAGTGTATGTTCCAATTATAAGACCCATTTTGCTAGTATTGTCAGTCATTTCAGAGATCTTGCCACTTTTGTCCTTATTCCTAGAATAGAATGTCTTCAAGGCACCCTATTCACGTTAGTAGGTTTTTTTTCATTAGTATGTTTTTCCTCATAAAAGGTAAATCTACTTGGCCAATTACTCCTAGTCTAGCTTCTAATTCCACTAAGGCTTTTATTTTGAGTGTGGCAACACCAGACATGTTGCAACTTAAAAAAATGAATAAAAATAAAATTTAACTGGCCAAATATTCCCACAAGTTGTTTCCCAACACAACTTCTTTGTAATAAATAAACCCTGTGAAACAAGAGTCAAAAGATATAGCCTCGTTTGTATTCTTCTATGGATAACCGTCTCATCTCTTCATCCATTTTGAGAACATATATCACCTCTGGGAGTGTGTTTGTTAGGTTGGCTGTTCAGCTCTCTTTTTGACTCTTCAAAAGAGGAAAAGGAAGTTGGACACAGGGGTGCACACCTGTAGCCTCAGCAACTCAGGAGGCTGAGGCAGGAGGATCACTTGAAACCAGGAGTTTGAGGCTGTAGTGTGCCATGATCACACTTATGAGTAGCCACTACACTGTAGCCAAGGCAACATAGGGAGACCCTGTCTCTTTAAAAAAAAAAAAAGAGAGAGAGAGGAAGAGATTTCATAGGAGTTCTTTACCCAAGGGACATCTGGGTCAAAGCTAAGAGAGAATATTATTTTCTTGCTTTAACATCTCTTGAAGCACCGAAAGCGTCTCTTGAGATTTTGAAGTCTTCATTTATTAGTTCCCTTCCCCTGAGCAACAATCTTGTCTTTCTTCCACTTATCATCAATTTTTAAAATTTATTTTTTATTGTCTATATTAAAAGTATACATGTTATGATAAACATATACATAATACAATTATTACTGCAGTCAAGCACTTTTTTTTTTGACTTGGAGTCTTACCCTGTCACCCAGGCTGGAGTGCAGTGAAATGCTCACAGCCACCGCAGCCTCGACCTGCTGGGCTCAGGCAATCCCTCCACCTCAGCCTTACAAGTAGCTGGAACTACAGGTGTGCACTACCACACCCAGCTTTTTTGTATTTTTAATTTATTGTAGAGACAAGGTCTCCACTGTGCCTAGCCGCACATTATTTTTTGGAGTTGGAGTCTCACTCTAACCCAGGCTGAAGTGCAGTGACATTCTCACAGTCACTGCAACCTCCACCTGCTAGGCTCAGGTGATCCTTTCGCCTCAGCCTTCCAAATAGCTGAAACTATAGGCACATGCCATCATGCCCAGCTAATTTTTTTTTTTTTATTGTAGAGATGAGGTCTCATCAGGTTGCCCAGGCTGGTATCAAACCTGTTAGCTTAGGCAATCCTCTCACCTCAGCATCCCAAAGTGCTAGGAGTGTAGATGTGAACCACTGTGCCCAGCCTACTACACCTTTTGTTTTAATCATTAATTTTGTTTTTTTTTTTGAGTTAGAATCTCACTATGTCACCCAGACTGGAGTACAGTGGCCACTCCTGGCCACTGCAGCCTCGACCTGCTGGGCTCTGGCGATCCTTCCGCCTCAGCTGTCCAAGTAGCTGGAACTACAGGCGTGCACTACCACACCCAGCTAATCATTAATTTTAACCCAAATCTTTCACACTTAAGTAAACTTTCTGGGTCAGCTACTGATCTGGTCCATTTCCAGTCATAGGGAGACAGATTGGATAAATACAGAAAAATAGGACTATACTGTTAGAAATCAGGGCAATTTTTATTAACAATATGAAATTCAGTGGAGCCCAGTGGTATCTGTCATTGTTCTGTGCATTGCTGCCTGGCTTGAGTTCCTCCACCCATTTCATTGCCATTTCAAGAGATATTAGGCCATGAAGTCATTGATTCCAACCACTGTCAATCTCCAGCACAGGGTTTCTTTGGTGAGCGTCAATACATTCCACTTTGACTTGCCCTCAGAATTTCCATAGAGATTTCCAAAGAAGAGTTCCCCATATAGAGTGCCCTTTTATCGTCCAGTTGGTTTTTTTTTCTTTTTTTTGAGTTGGAGTCTCACTCTGTCGCCCAGACTGGAGTGCAGTGGCCGCTCGCGGCCACCGCAGCCTTAACCTGCTGGACTCCTGCGATCCTTCTGCCTCAGCCTTCCAAGTAGCTGGAAC